GGGGGGGGGGGGGTGTTTCATCAGTGCATCATACATCTTTATGTTTCCCAAAAAGCTACTGAATAGTTTGAGGTATGTCATGAAGTACTTTGCTGCAGCAAATCAGTTTAATTTTGTAAAAGATAATGTTCATGTTAATTCACAAAAGGAAACTTCAATCCTCCGCAAGTATCTATACATTGGATAATTACTATCAATATTGTAAACCGAAACAGCATTCTCTCAATCATATATTCAAGTATTCGTGAATTAAAAACTAAAGTTGTAGTTCGCAAAAAAAACTCACTGAGGTTCAAATGTTCCAACGCTCCAAACTTCACAGTAGCTGGGGCAGGTTGGGGAATAGACAACTATTTTTGTACACATATATTAGAAATCAAGATGACTCAATACTTAGTTATATTCTTATGGAGAAAACCCAACTAAACAGAAGACTGTTTGGTGTAAATCCCATTCAACATGAACCAGAATGAGGAACAGAGGTATAAGCAACAAACCAATAGAATTAACACCAGTCTTAGAAATAACAACACTTCAAAACATACTCTTAGCATGAAGAAAAACAAAACATCACACTTGAAACCTTGAAAAGTATAAACAAGTTGACGCATCAACAAAACTTACATGAAAATCAGACACAATAACTCACAAAAATCATGTACAGAAAATATACTAATAGGAAAACAAAAACTAAAGGAGGGAGAGGGTCTGAGGAGATAGGAGTGTGTGAGAGAGGATCTCAGGAGATAGGAGAGTCAGGGGAGGGGGAGGGTCTGANGGTAAGATATCATGATGGAAGGAACATTTTTTTTTAAATTGCAGTTGAAGTATCTGAAGTGACAAGAAGGTTTTGAACGTTTCTAGTACATCTGAGGAGATAGGAGTGTGTGAGAGAGGGTCTCAGGAGATAGGAGTGTGTGAGAGATGGTCTCAGGAGATAGGAGTGTGTGAGAGATGATCTCAGGAGATAAGAGAGTCAGGGGAGGGGGAGGGTCTGACAAGATAGGAGGGTAGGGGAGGGTCTGATGGGAGAGGGTCTGATGAGATAGGATGGTGGGGGAGGGTCTGAGGAGATAGGGGAGGAGGGTATGAGGAGATAGGAGGGGAAGGGTCTGAGGAGATAGGAGGGGAGGTGATGGTCTGAAGAGATAGGGGACGAGGGTCTGAGGGGATAGGAGGATGGGGAGGGTCTGAGGATATATGGGGAGGGGCTGAGGAGATACGGGAGGAGGGGATGAGGAGATAGGAGGTTGGGGGAGGGTCTGAGAAGATGGGGGGAGGGTCTGAGGGGATAGGAGGGGGGGGGGAGGTCTGAGGATATGGGAGGGTGGGGGGGGGTCCGAGTAGATAGGAGGGGAGGGGATGGTCTGAAGAGATAGGGGACGAGGGTCTGAGGGGATAGGAGGGGGGGGGGGGGGGCCGGAGTAGAGGGGAGGGGAGGGGAGGGTCTGATGGGAGAGGGTCTGATGAGATAGGATGGTGGGGGAGGGTCTAAGGAGATAGAAGGGTTGGTGGAGTGTCTGAGGAGATAGGGGGAGGGGCTGAGGGGATAGGAGGGGGGGGGAGGGTCCGAGTAGATAGGGGGGGAGGGGGTCTGAGGAAATAGGAGGGTGGAGGAGGGTCTGAGGAGCTAGGAGGTTGGGGGAGGGTCTGATGAGATAGGATGGTGGGGGAGGGTCTGAGTAGATAGGAGGGGAGGTGATGGTCTGACGAGATAGGGGACGAGGGTCTGAGGAGATACGGGAGGAGGGGATGAGGAGATAGGAGGGTGTGGGAGGGTCTGAGGATATATGGGGAGGGTCTGAGGGGATAGGAGGGGGGGGGGGGGCCGGAGTAGAGGGGAGGGGAGGGTCTGATGAGATAGGAAGGTGGGGGAGGGTCTAAGGAGATAGGAGTGGGGGAGGGTCTGATGAGATAGGAGGGCAGGAAGGGTATGAGGAGATAGGAGGATGGGGGAGGGACTGAGTAGATAGGAGGGGAGGGGAGGGGGTCTGAGGAAATAGGAGGGGGGGGGAGGGTCTGAGGATATATGGGGAGGGTCTGAGGGGATAGGAGGATGGGGGAGGGACTGAGTAGATAGGAGGGGAGGTGATGGTCTGAAGAGAGAGGGGACGAGGGTCTGAGGAGATGGGGGAGGGGCTGAGGAGATAGGGGGGGGGGGAGGGTCGGAGAAGATAGGGGGAGGGCCTGAGGATATATGGGGAGGGTCTGAGGAGCTAGGAGGTTGGGGGAGGGTCTGAGAAGATGGGGGGAGGGTCTGAGAAGATAGGAGGTTGGGGGAGGGTCTGATGGGAGAGGGTCTGATGAGATAGGATGGTGGGGGAGGGTCTGAGGAAATAGGAGGAAGGGGAGGGTCTGAGGGGATAGGAGGGGGGGGGAGGGTCCGAGTAGATAGGAGGGGAGGTGATGGTCTGAAGAGAGAGGGGACGAGGGTCTGAGGAAATAGGAGGGGGGGGGAGGGTCGGAGGAGAGAGGGGGGGGGGGGGCCGGAGGATATAGGAGGGTGGGGGGAGGTCTGAGGATATGGGAGGGTGGGGGAGGGGCTGAGGAGATAGGGGGGAGGATCTGAGGAGATAGGAGTGGGGGGAGGGTCTGAGTAGATAGGAGGGGAGGTGATGGTCTGAAGAGAGAGGGGACGAGGGTCTGAGGGGATAGGAGGATGGGGAGGGTCTGAGGGGATAGGAGGGGGGGGGAGGGTCTGATGAGATAGGATGGTGGGGGAGGCTCTGAGGAATTAGGGGAGGAGGGTATAAGGAGATAGGAGGGGAGGGGATGGTCTGAAGAGATAGGGGACGAGGGTCTGAGGAGATAGGAGGGTGGGGGAGGGTCTGAGGAGATAGGAGAAGGGGGGGATGGATTCTTCCTCTTTACCTCTATCACTACATGCATAATCTGAAAATCTGCGTGAAGTTGTGAAGAACACAGCGGAGACAGTTATTGTGGTGTTTTTGTGGAATACCTTCCAACTACTGGTCCAGTGACAAAGCCAGCCACATAAACATTAACTATTTATCACTGTCGATGAGATGTATCTCTCTCCTCCCATCTATCATACAGCAAGCCATTTCTTCCCCATTACAGGAGGAACTGCCACGTTCAGTGATGGTTGCCTGCTCCTGATGCCACCGGTTACAAGACGTGACTCTGGTATACATGCTACAAACATCTCCGGAATGTCTGACGTTCTTTTGCCAGAATTACTGACCCACTTCACACCGACCAATTCGGTCAAAAATTATATATTCTATACATAGTGTTTCGTTTTTTTAAAGTGGTACATGGATTCTGAAAGAGTGTTTACATAATTCTTGATACTTTTCCCACCCAAACTTTTATTTCGACAGCTATTGTCTCAGTACTATTTTGGAGGTTGTTAATTACATGTCTACAGTCTATGATCAGCATCTGTTACATTCCTGCCACATTCCTCACCACATCAGCTATCATTATTCTTCCTGTAAGTGTCTTCCTCAATATATTAAAGTTATCACTGTTTTCTCATCATCTTTAGTTGAGTTTACATAGCTTAGGCCTATAGCTTCTATGCGATGCCATAATTATCCGGTCAGTTTTTGCATTGACTATGCCGAAGTGTGACGTCATTCAATTCCTTTCTTTTTAATGCCACAATAATGATTATTCCTTTAGATACCACAGAAATTAGAAATTTCTCACATAAGTTTTCACAAGCAATCCTTTAGACTGGATTTGATGGCGATAATCAAATAATTTCAGAAAAGTCAAAATAATGATAACAATAGAATAAAACCTGAATACGATGTCCCTAACTCTAGTTACCACCTTGGCTATCACCAACGTATTTTAATGTCCCCTTTTCCATTGTTTTACTTAACAACTCCATTAGACATCTCCCTTGATAGATCTGCAATCCCTTAAATAATACCACATTTTTGTTGGACAAATGGTGGAAGTACTAGTGTAACAAATTTTAACTGTCGAGTTTTATTTCATGGTGAAGGTTCTAAGTACAACACCATTTCTTAAATGGAAACGTCCTTAAAGGCTCTATATCCTACTACAGACAAAACACTAGAGAATTGCACTGTAGGTTTTCATAAGTAGAGTAACCTCCCCCTTAATTTTGTTTTGGGTGTAACATATATAGCATGTGTGAGTCGCGTTACTACCATTGACCAGATGGCTCAGTTAGTTTAAGGGCAATACTATAATGATCGGTGGCTCTGGGTTCAATTCCTGATCTTGACTCATTCCAATTTTACACTCAGAACATTGTTGTTGAATTATTTTTTTTCAATGAAAATCCAATTGACAAAGCTATATGGACATGTCGGGAAAAAGGCTTCCAATACGTAGTTCAATTTTTGTCAGCGATATGGGAATCCTTAATATGCAGCTAGTTCTTGACCAATCATTATACTTATACATGATACTGTGAAATAAGGGTCAGTTTGACTTAATGACATGTCACAAAATGTTTCTCTGGCATAGTAAAAGACACTGTTCTTCATCATTGACTTCCGCTTAGGAGATCAAGGTTTTAATTACTGACTTGGCAACTTATAAAAAATGTATAGCTGCAAACAACGTACAACATATTGAGATTTCAATGTGTAATGACAAAAGAGGGGTATTATATCAAGGTTTAACACATATGAAAGAGCAAGTATTAGCTCAGTCTGATATAAACTCATAAATGTTGGTAATATCGGAGACCAATTTCTTGATGATAGGAAACAGAAATCTTTATAAATAGGAAATTAATGTGACCCCTTGTGGAGCAAAAATGGTGGTACAGAAGGAGTAAAGACCATTGTATATAGAAAGTAGGACAAGTTGTAAACAGAAAATGTCTACATGATTTCCCTTTTTGGCAGCCATTTAATGATGAAAATGTTGCAAAAATGTTTATCAAGGGGACATAACTCTAATTGAAAAGTCCTGTTTAAAAAATAGATTCATTAGCATTTAATTTCTGTGGATACATACTGGAGGAGCCTAGTATTGTGAACCAATGATAACATACTCTGCAGTTCAATAGTTCAAGGAACCATGATGGTAGTATGAACTGAAGTACAGGAAACTTAACTCTGGCAGAAAGCTTGAAGAAATAAATTATATAATATGAGGTTTGTTATTTACAAAATCTGTCTGAGGACTTGTAACTACTACAAAACATTAGATCTGTCATCAACAAAGCCTTTAAAACAAATTAAAAGAGTATCAATCATGCTTTTTAGCCCGGATGGAAGAGCATCTTGCATTGGGTCATAACATTGGAGGAACCGGAGTACTAAAGACGTCCCCATACATGTACTGCTTTCACATTCGAACCACGGCCATCTTGGTGAAATCTGAGCGCTCACACTGTACCATCCGACCACTCGCCACCCAGACGTTTTTTAGGCATATTAAATATAGAAGTACAAACATGAGACCTGTTGTCTGTATAATCAAATGAAAAGCATTCAGGATTAACAATCTGAGCCGACTCTCGACTCATGACGACTTTTCAAACAAGCCCCTCCCCAAATCATTATTTATCTGTCTGTAGAAAGTATAGATAGTCTGCACCAATACAGCTCCATTAGGCTTCCGATTTTATGTTGCGGTTTTAACGACAACCTGAGTCGTCCATAAGTGGGGATGTGCCACAGTAATGCGCAGCAAGGACAATATGGCCACCATTAAATCTGGCCATAAACAATACATAGTAACTGGTTGCTACGGCAACTTGTGCTCCATGTTGTGTCATATATATATACGGTTTACAGTTGTGAGAGCAGGGTGCGGAAACAATTGGCTTGTTTACAAACATTACTTATCATCAAGATACATACCATAAAAGAAATTGTTTTTCAGTACATACCCAAGCATTATAAATCTGCTGTTTCATCCACATAATCTCCCTAATATATTTTGTAAATTTCCATACAACGGAAGGCCGAGGTTTTATGTTTTCAGGAATATTTTCTTTGCTTCCATCAAATCACAGTCTGAGCCATGTTGTAGAAGCCTAGCCAGTAAACATGAATTTTCATATCTTTTAAAAATATCAAATCCATTCCTATAAAGCAAGTCCTCCAATCATTCCCCCAAGTACAGAAAGATTTTCTTTTTGCAGTATACTTTGAAATAGTTCAAATTTTTAATTAAAAATCCCTGATCAAAAATCTATTAGTTTTTGTCACTAGCAATATGTTGGCACAGAAATGGCATAAAGATTTCATAAGAATTCAAAACAGCTGTAATATTTTAAGAAAACATTTTCCAGAATCAGCTTTCATTCAGAATATTACTCTGCATCATATGTGTGCTTTGAATGAACAGAATGAAAACATACAATGAACAAACATGTTACTAACATTGAACACAGAATCCAATATAAATATCACTGGTCAGTATGATATCATGATGGAAGTAACATTTTTTTTTTAAATTGTAGCCGAAGTATCTGAAGTGACAAGAAGGTTTTGAACGTTTCTAGTAACCATTAAGTAACATGTACCATGAATTTGACCTTCCAACACTTGGTGTGACCTTGACCTCAAGGTACAGTCAGAAGAGTGGTTCACGACACAACATCTGCTTATGACTCAATTTGACAATTTTCCTGAAATACGACACTCTTTTGGAAAAGTAAATTGATGTCACAGTAGGGATGCATATACAGCTCTAAAACATTGTCTTAATACATATACAGCTCTAAAACATTGTCTTAAAACATAACCAAGTCTTTGGTCAGGTTCATGCCCACAGTATAATGCACTCTAAAAACAGTCAAATATTGGCCTACCTTAATTTATTTGAGAGTATCATCAATGTTTGCTGGTGCTTACAGCCGTCTCGTCAACCTATCCCAGGTCAGCGGATGAATCGGTGATGTAATGTTATCTAGAAGTGAAGTGAACGATGAATATTCCAAAAGTTTATTGCCAATGCATGTGAACACACGGTGTCAAGTTACTACTCCAAATGTCAAGTGGAAATTGTCGTCACCAGCACATCGCCGTACCACATTTACACCCAAAAGTCAATGTGAACCCAGGCTGGTAACGTATATACAGCCATTAGTTTTTATAATGGGAGCTGAGAATGCTCCTTGAACAATCCAACAAAATTGTACGTCATTCATTTTGTGGCTGTCACTCTCCAGTCAAATATGCCGTACTCATGTCAGTGCTCAGGCGACACACTTAAAAAAAATAAACTGAATTTATCAACTGCCGACAGCTCTATATAAATTAAGAAAATGTTCTTCAATGATTGTTTACAGGAATAGTTTTCCTAACAATGTCTAAAAATAGTTCAATCTTTTTTCCATGTAATAATACATGACAAAGTGACCTTTCCTTTGATTGGCTGTTATGAGCCCTACATGACAAAGTGAACTCTCCTTTGATTGGCTGTTATGATCCCTACATGACAAAGTGACCTTTCGTTTGATTGGCTGTTATGATCTCTACATGACAAAGTGACCTCTCCTTTGATTGGCTCTTATGATTCTACATGACAAAGTGACCTCTCCTTTGATTGGCTCCTATGACCCCTACATGACAAAGTGACCTCTCCTTTGTTTGGCTGTTATGATTCTACATGACAAAGTGACCTTTCCTTTGATTGGCTGTTACGATTCTACATGACGAAGTGACCTCTCCTTTGTTAGGCTGTTATGATTCTACATGACAAAGGGACCTCTCCTTTGATTGGCTCCTATGACCCCTACATGACAAAGTGACCTCTCCTTTGATTGGCTGTCATGACCCCTACTTGACAAAGTGACCTCTCCTTTGATTAGCTGTTATGACCCCTATATGACAAAGTGACATTTTCTTTGATTGGCTCTTATAACCCCTACATGACAAAGTGACCTCCCCTTTGATTGGCTGTTATGACCCTGTCATGACAAAGTGAACTCTCCTTTGATTGACTGTTATGACACCTACATGACAATGTGACCTCTCCTTTGATTGGCTGTTATGACCCCTATATGACAAAGTGACCTCTCCTTTGATTGGCTGTTACGATTCTACATGACGAAGTGACCTCTCCTTTGATTGGCTCTTATGACCCCTACATGACAAAGTGACCTCTCCTTTGATTGGCTCTTATGATTCTACATGACAAAGTGACCTCTCCTTTGATTGGCTCTTAGGACCCCTACATGACAAAGTGA